AATATATTGGTAGAAGCAATGATACGGGATACACAGCAGCCATAATTGTCCCAGACCAATTGGGGTAGGCAAACAGATCAGACATAGTTGCTGTAGGAAAGAAGACAAAACAAGACTATGTTGTGATGGTTCTCGGGATACCCAGGACTCTGAGTCACCTTGTTACCCCGCTTCCTCCAGAACGAGGGAGTCCTGCTTGTGATTAATTGGGTGTCAGCTCCCTGACACCACCAGCCTGTTAGCCACTCAAGTACTCTCCTCTGGGCTATGCCAGCCCTTACTTCACCTTGAAGGCTAACAAATCGTGCACCCCAGTTCCTGAGTGCTTTTGAAGAATTCACTCTTCTGTTCTGCCCCTTATCCACTGTATGCTCACAGAAATACCAAAAATCCCAAAAGGAACAGTATACATACAGCCTTGTATGAATCAGCTCAGAAACAGCACTTAGATATATTTATAGCGGAAACAAGAATAAGTTTATCATCAAAAATTCAAAATTAATGTGATAGTGAGTAAGAATACTGGAAACAAAATCACAGACTAAACTTAGCTAACCTCCTGTCTAAAGTTAACCTCCTGTCTAAAGAAGTTTATCCCCAAAGTCCTCTACACTACAGTGTTTCAACTATGGCTGGCTGAGATCCCACTTTCAGAAATGTAAATGCACTGTTTACTTCCTCATTACAGGATAAGGGGGTGTTGTCTTTGCCTTCTACTTGTACTCCTAAAGTTCATTGTTTCTACTCAGAGATAAGATAATCACCTGGGGCTTATTTTTTCTGTGTGCTCCTTTCCTGTTGACTTCACATCTCTTTGTTGACTTTTTATGTAAATGTGTAGCCATTGTTGTAGCGGGTCAATTTATGTCCCCACAGAGAGACAGGTGAATAAACATCTCTTGTGTGACAGAAAACCTGCTTTGTCTCCTCTGCTGGTGACTCAGACTTTGACACAAACTCTAAGAACATATTTTCATTATATATACATAACTCCTTACATAGCATCTGTGCATAGCTTTCACAACAATATTAATGACCATGTGACCCTCGTTCATTTGAGACCTCACGTGACATTCTTTGGTGAACCAGAATGTATGGACCAGGATCAGGACATTGCTGTAAACCCCTTGCCAGTAAGTATTAAAGAGATCTTGAGTCACATGTGTTCATTGATACTGTCATACCAGCAGACAGAAACATAAAAAAGAAACAATAAGACAAGTTAACAAGTATGAAGATCTCTGGCCCAAAGTGAAAAGATTATGGAAAACTAGAACAAAAGTGATTACTGGAGAACTTGAAGTGGATGATCCTTAAGGGTATGAATGAGCAGCTCAAAAACACTTTAGAAGCACAAGACATCATGACCAGTGAGCTCCAGAAGACAGCACTCTTAGGCACTGCAAGCATTTCAAGGAAAGTCAAAGGAGAATGAGTGCATTTAAGTACCCAAAATCCAGGAATTCTGCAGAGGGTTTAACAAAACTCTTGAATATCTAAACCCACAGAGTCGTTCATTGTCAGGATTTATTGGTGACTCATGGAGCTACATTTTAAACAGTAGTTTTCCTTTTGTTATGCATAAAGATCTTGTATGTTGTTAAGGACATTTGTTTAAAAAAATTCCCATGATGTAATACTGAAGGATAATAATAATTAATAATGAATGACTGCGAGCAATCAGGATGTCAATTTTGACTCATCCAAAAGACATAATAGTATAGGGTATCTCGGATGGTGTGACAGTAGCATGTAGAATAATATTAAGAGCTGACGATATAGCAAAGGAAAACAAACCCAGTGGAAATGCCAAGATTGCTAGGTTGGGCATCACTGATTCATTTATTGACACGACTACTAATTATATGATTTGTCTATTTATAACATGCATTAAAGTATCTTCCTATGATGTGTTTAACCTGAGGGTTGGATATGCTTGTTTATTTCTCCTATGATATTTTTCAACAAAGGTTACTTTTTAATTGCTAATTTTTTTAGCAATAAAGTCAGGTCCTGTGTTCTCAGTTAGTCACCTTTTCTGATATATCAGCAAGAAACAGCAGTTTTTCCCAGGCACAAACCACAAAGAGAATCCTCTGGATTCTCAGAATGAAATATCCTAAATTTGGTGTTTGTGGAAAGTCACTTCTCTCCCCATATTGCTTGTACTTTGTAGTTTGTTTTGCTTTTCATTTGCGCTGATTTTCTCGTGAACTTGTGTTGTAATGTTTACTATATAAATATTGCAACAGGTCACTTCCTCTCAGTGATCCTTAGAACTAATACCACTATTGCCTTTAATATGCAGAAAAACAACAACCTATTAGGTGTCTTTATACTCTCACTGCTGATGACTGGGTATGGTCTGACATTTGTATCAGGTTTCTTTCTGTCAAAGGAAACAAGTAATGCCATCTCAAAAGAGGCGAGTTATGTTCTGCTTTGTTTAAAAACATGCCTGTGTATGTGTGGGAGAGAGAAGTGGTGGTTTAGGATTATGAAGGAGGACAAGTACTCAAAGCCTAGGAGTAATAATAATTAGTGGAGATATCCCATCTCCTAGAACTGGAAGGGACCTTGAAAGGTCATCGAGTCCAGCCCCCTGCCTTCACTAGCAAGCCCAAGTACTGTTTTTGCCCCAAATCCCCAAGTGGCCCCCTCAAGGATTGAACTCACAACCCTGGGTTTAACAGACCAATGCTCAAACCACTGAGCTATAGTGCTCCATTGTAAAATTATAATTTAAAGACAGACTCCAATGGTTTGACAGATTACCTTAGATCCTTAGGTAAACAAATAGTTAAATATTAATGACAGATAAACAAATACTTCAAGAGACAATGTAAATTAAAAATTATATTTCTGTCCAAAAATGGTGTACCTAATGTCGTTTCAAGTAACATGATTACTGTGGCCATGTTTACACAACAAAGTTCAGTCAACACAAGTTACATCGCTGTACAGTGGCTGAAATTTGTGAATTGGTCAGACGCGTGGATGCTTGGCTACTTGCATCAGTACTGTGCATACTCACAAGGAGTGCTTGTGTCAATGTAAAGTGCGGTGCACCTTAGGTAGGCAGTGCTTTCTGGTGTAATATCTTTTGGGACATTTTCTCCGTGCTTTGTGGGATAGTAATGAGTTGCCCAGGGATTACTGTAAGAAGTTAGTACAAAAATAGTTTCCCTTGTTTTTTATTTTTTTCAGTTTGCTTGCTTTTCAGTCAGATGCAATGTTCATTTAAGACAATGGGAGTTTTTAATTTATATAAATGAGTGTTGGATCAAGCCTTTAGTACACCTGACAGCACTTGGTGTGTAGTAAGTTAAGAACATAAGAACAGCCATATTGGGTCATATCAGTGGTCCACCATCTAGCCCAGTATCCTGTCTTCTGACAAAAGCAACAGAGGGTCCTGTGGCACCTTTAAGACTAACAGAAGTATTGGGAGCATAAGCTTTCGTGGGTAAGGACCTCACTTCTTCAGATGCAAGTACACTGTCTTCTGACAGTGGCCAATGCCCGGTGCTTCAGAGGGAATGAATACAGGACAAGCTGAAAAAAACAAGGGAAACTTTTTTTTTTACTAACTTCTTAAAGTAATCCCTGAGCGACTCACTACTATCCCACATAATCACTATTTCTTGTAAAGTATCATTTATGCCCCAATTCTGCAAACATTTCAGCATGTGAATAACTTATGCATATTAAAGTGCTTACAGGATTGTAGCCTTTGATTTCAGTGAGGCTTCCAGCAAACTCAGGGGCCTGCTTGAATATATCATCTTTTAGGACTGAAGCCTTATGAAATTGATTCCTTGCTGAACAGATGCTTAAAAAACATCAACAGAGGAACAGAAAAGTCCTTACAATTTTTACAGGATTTTTTTTTAAATATCCAAGTTATACTGCTTAAAAGGGCATTCTATCATTAGATAGTTTCAAAATAGTCAAGTTGACAGTTTCCCATTTACTCAATTTGGACTGTGAAACTAAATTAGTCTGTTTAGTCATTTTCACTTTCTGTTTTCTGTGTGATTTAGTGGATCATTTAGGGCCTGATTGTGGAAGGGGCTGAGCAGGCACAGATCTCATGAGATGGTTACCTACCACTTCTAAAATCAGGCCATTAACATTTTTCACTATCTAGAAAATGTGGATAATAATACTGACCTACCCTGTGGGATTGTGACGCTATTCTTCTTCTTATTATTATTCTTTATTTATTAGAGTATTTTCCATATTCATAAATACAGATCAGTTATATATTCCTCTATTTTTAAACATATTTGTGATTAACCTGCATCTACAATGTATATGACATGGAGGTGACACTATTATATTATGTGATTTTCTTTCACCATCATTAGATTGATTTGCATGTTAACATATGAGAAGCATATACCCCTGTACAGTTGAACAGCCATGTGACTGATTTACATATATAAACAAATGAAATTTCGTCTGTGTTTAGCAATGTGGTTAATTTGCATATGTAAATGAAGTAGGTATTATATCCGTATGCGTCTGTGCTTGATCGGGTGTCATTTGCCTATGTAAACCATATTCATTCATTTGCTGTGATCTCATTATTCGAATAAACGTGCTTAATTTCCCTATGTAAATGTGAAAATATTTCTCTAAGCCATGTTCATCTGTTGCATGTACATATGTAAAGGAGAATCACTTATTGATCACATGCCTATTTTAATCCTGTGAATAATTTGCATATGTGAAAACTGATTTCCATAGGCGAATTATTAATCTGCATACATAAACATATGCAAATTAATTATAGGCATATGACATAATTATTTTGCATACGTAAATAACGTGCCCTTGCGGATCTCCTTCTGCCGCCGTGGAGAGGGTTCCCGGGTGGGGCTCTGTTTGTAGTTTTCCTTTAGGTGACGTCACCACGTCTGTGCGGTCACGCAACGCGATGACGTTACAGGTGGCGTGCCCCGCGTGTGGGCGGGACGGAGCGTGCGCAGTGTCTCGGGACTCGCTCCCCTCGTCCCCTCCCCCCATGCAGCGCTGAGGAGACGGGCGGCGGAGCGGAGTAGGGGAGGCCCGGGGCCTAGCGGAGCGGGCTGGAGCGGCGGCCCCGGCGCCATGGAGGGGATGGACGTGGACCTGGACGCCGAGCTGATGCAGAAGTTCAGCTGCCTGGGCACCACCGACAAGGACGTGCTGATCGGCGAGTTCCAGCGGCTGCTGGGCTTCCAGCTGAGCCCGGCCGGCTGCGCCTTCTTCCTGGACATGACCAACTGGTAAGGGACCGGGCCTGGCCGGGAGCGGGACCGGTGGCGGGCGGACCGGGGGGATGGCAGCCGAGCCCTGGGGGAAGGAGAGGGCGGGCTGGGGGGACTGGCGGCTGCGCGGGAGACGGGAGGTAAGACAGGCACTGTGGGGAGGGTAGGTCCGGGGAGGGGGTAAACAGGGCTCTGGGTGGAGGGCAGGCTGGCGGAAAGGTGGGGTATGCTGGGCCCTGTGTGGGGGGGGGTAAGCCGGGCCCTGTGGGGAGGGCAGGCTGGGGACTGGGAGAGGGTAAGCTGGGCCCTGTGGGGAGGGAAAGGAGAGGGTAGGCCAGCTATGGTTGTGTACTCTGTCTGCACCTTTTTCTTGGCCATGATAAGCCTGGAAGACAAGTCCTAGTGTGGGAGAAGCACCTGAGCAGCCTTTTCCCAGCCAGTAAACACAGAGAGAGACACAGAAGCTTTTAACTTGGGCATGGCTCTTAGTTTCCTTGAAATCAGGAGGAAAGAGTCTCGCACCACCAGGCAGTCTGCAGGGAGTGGTCCTCTGGTGTCGCCCCCTACCCCCCAGGTTGTTTCTCCTGTCTGTTGCGGATACACAATATTTGGTGTATGTGGGGCCCTCTTCTCTCTGGGGAGCCTGTCTACAGTTGGATGGGATAGGGCATGGGGAGCTCGGTTTCTACCTTCCACTTGGATACAAGTACTTGTATCTACACTGCTGGAAGGACCAATGAGGCATTAGTACCCTGTCCTGCTGACATCATCTCCCACAGTCCTGCAGGCTTTCCTAGGGTAGGCAATTATAATAAAAAATGTGGCACCCTCTTGTTTCCCCTGCATCTTTCCCAGCACATTTTACTGACTTCGGTAAGAGAAATTACTTCTATGTTCCTAGTAGATCTCACAAGGCTATGGGAAAGTGATCTGGAGTCCTGTCTGAACCATCACAACCAAGTCATTGGCTGAATTTCAGTTGTTAGCTCCTTGTCACAGTTAAAACATCAGTGGCAGAAAGATCAAGTTTGACTTACAGATCCAGGTGGCAGCTAGAAAAAAAGTCCCTCTTACAAAGTGAGCGAACTTTTTTTTTTGAATTGTTGAAAGGATAAACATGAAAACAGTGTAATATTTAGCCGCACATTTGTCTAGAGCCCTGTTTCACATGACACTGGAGATTGCCTTTTTGGAAAGTGAAGAAAGGGTGAGTGATCAGCAAATGCTGGATCCATCTTAAGCTAGTCTCCTGAATCCAGGGAAGGTGTCATGCGAAGAAGTGGTGAGTTTCTTCAGGACAAGTGTGTTCATGACAAAATATTTCCTATGCAAATTTTTTGAGACAGTAACATAAATACAAACTGTCTGCAGTACCTGTGAGGTTTGTTTCAGAGTAATATTGGCTTTTCCCTGTACATTGCATTTCTCTTGGAAGAATAACTTCATAGGCCAACATTGTGAACTCAGAAATTATCATGGGTGACATAAAGGGATTTTTTTGTGCTTCTGTAATAATTTTGATTTTTTGTTAGGAAGACATGTTTGTCTTCAGAAATATTACTTGGCCACTTAATACTTTGTGTCACTGCTTCCTTTATAAAATCCTGTTTTCAGGCATGAATAAATCAGTCATAAAACTAACTCTTGGGTGAAACCTGGTGTCAGCAGTTCGGGCACCTGTTTTTATTAATGAATTTTCAACAAAATTATTCAAGCATTTTTGCCATGAGTTTGAGTTATAAATGTTTTTTTGGGTGCTGGCTTGTACTCAGATCAGACTGTTTCATCTTTGTATGAAAGAAGTTATGTAAACATAAATAACATAAGTAACACATTCTGCATGTAGTCAAATGGTTTTGGGAGTACTGAAAGAAATTTGAAATTGGTCAACATTTAGGCTGACATTTTCTAATTTGTGTGCCTAAATTCACATCCTTAATGTTGTTTCTAGTATGTGAATTAGTAAAAAGGGATTGGAACTGATGCTGATGGGGTCTTATCGACTGAAAAATGTAAGGAGGAAAATGTTTATTAATTTGAACGTAGTACAACCGATCCATGGAATATGGCTCCAGTTTCTCGTGTATCCCCCTTTAAGTGAATTTAGTGGCCATGAAAGTGAGGGATTTTAATAGCATTGCCTTGAGCCAAGTGTGCTGACAGGTGCTGTGGAAACTTCCCTCGTGTAACCTTACCAGTGTGCTACAATCCTGATCTGTAGCATCGTTTACTATGCCAGACCCAGGACACCCCACAGCTCTGCCAGTGCACCTCAGCCCAAATCTGCAGCACCCTGACTGTTGGTCATGAACTTATAATGGGCAAATACAGCCTACTGTAGGTATCTGGGGTACTAGCGTGGAACGGCCAAACCCCTTTTTGCTTGTGACCTAGGCCATAATTTGAACCAGCTTTCTTTAAAGGAAAACCTTGCTCTTTGGCATGTTGAGGCAACGTGGAAGTTATAGTTGTATAATACATACAAGCAGTCCCAAGGTAACGTAAGACAGTGGCCCTCTAGGTTTGGGTGGTGGGTGGGAAGAGTGTGTTCAATCTATCCTGAAAACAGTTTGTTGGTTTCACTACCAAGTTGCTTGTTCTTCTCTTAGGAAGACAAAAAACTCACTTCAGCCTTAGAGATGGCTCTTCAATTCCCCCTTCTTCCCAGCTTATGATTAATGTACATCTACAGCAGGTTGTAGGGGACGTGCACAGCAGGGTCAGTGGCAGTGCACTCATGTGGAAGACCAAGGACTTCACCTCCCCTCTTCTTGTACACGTACACAAATTTAAAAAACCAACAAACCAGCTAACTATATTGTAGTGAAAACTGTTTCCTTCACAACAGTAGTGAAATCCGCTCTTTAAGGATATCTGTTACACCATGATCAAACCTGAAGTTGCTTGCTTGCATGTTGATAAAGTACCATGCTGTAACAAATCAGAGCTGTGAAGTGTTTTTGGAGGGCACTTCCAATGGTATTTCATTTGTAAACTTATTGGACATGCTGATAAATGAATTTATTATAAATTTGCAAGCCGGGGGTGGGAAGATATTTTGAAAATATTTTGGCAGTTGTCAGAAAAATCTGGACAAACAGTGAATTACTTTAAGTACCCTTTAAACTTCTGATTTTTCCAGTTCAATATACCAAGCAGCAGAGAGGGCACATTGTAGCTTGTTGGAAACTTTAAATTAAGGGTACTTTAAGACAGTGGGTCTCAACCTTTCCAGAATACTGTATCCCTTTCAAGAGTCTGATTTGTCTTGTTACCCCCAGTTTCACGTCACTTAAAAACGTACAAAATCAGACATAAAAATAAGTGTCACAGCACACTATTACTGAAAGATTGCTTACTTTCTCATTCTTACTATATCAATATAATATAAAATCAATTGGAATATAAATATTGTACTTACATTTCAGTGTATAGTATACAGAGCCATATAAGCAAATAATTATCTGAAATTTTAGTTTGTACTGACTGGGCTACTGTTGTAAAACTAGACAAATATCTAGATGTGTTCATGTACCCCCCTGGAAGACCTCTGAGTACTCCCAGGGATATATGTACCCCTGGTTGAGAATCACTGGTTTAAGAAACAGCCTCCTGCCTTATTAGGAATATAGTGAAAACACTGCAGATAGAGTACATCTTGAGCTTGCACAGTTTTCCAAGGTTTTTTTCCCTTAATGATCAAAAGCTATGAATTCAATATTTAATTGAACTTTATCTACTTTCTTTCCAATTTTCTAAATCACTTCCTTAGAACTTTGCCTTTGTTTATAAGCCATTCGGTTCTTTTTGGATTGTTCCAGTTTCTCAGTATTGCCCCTTGGACCACAAAATCCAAGTTGCTCCATTTTTTTGGGCTTTATTTTAGGTGCTCGCTGTGTGTTCTCTGAAAACGGCACCACCACAACATGGGTTTTGGTGAGGAGCTTTTTGTGATTGAGGGGGAAAAAGGTGTATGATGGGGTTAGCTTCTTGTCAGACTTGATACTCTTGCTTGGTGCTGAAAGTTGAGTTCTATCAATGTCACTTTGGCACTAAGTCACAGAGGGTCCTGTGGCACCTTTAAGACTAACAGAAGTATTGGGAGCATAAGCTTTCGTGGGTAAGAACCTCACTTCTTCAGATGCAAGAGAAGAAGTGAGGTTCTTACCCACGAAAGCT